ACCAGAAACAGAAGAGAGTGGTTGGCTATTTTAACTGCACACACCTTCATGCACCAGAGGGTAGGTCCCGATTTCTGATTTGGCTTAATTAAACAAATTATAAAATCTTTTCATATTTAAATTTTTTTTATTTTTTTATTTTTAGTTGTGTTTAGGAGACCCTCTGTGTAATCCTATTTCAGGTGAAGGGGAAATTCGTTGTATCCAGTTAAAAATGGTAACTAAGTGGATCGCGGAATTTCAAGCTGCCAACAAACAACCTGATGAAGATGTTGTTTTTGATGTGCTCTGTGGAGATTTCAACTTTGACAACTGCTCACCTGGTGTGTTGCTGTCTCATGCAAGACTTTATTCTGTTAATATTTTACCTTTTTGTTAATATTGTGTTTTTAACCAGTTTTTAAAATGTATTCATCTAGATGATCATCAGGAACAGAGTCACTCTGTTTTTGAGGAATACAAAGACCCTTGCAGGGCCGGACCTGGAAAGGAGAAGCCCTGGGTCACCGGTTTGTACTATTTATTCCCTGTAGCACTTCATAGTTTGACTATATGACAAATTTCAACAAAGATTAGAGAATTTTTATGGTTTGTCTTTGAAGGTACTCTGCTGGAACAGCCCACATTGTATGAAGAAGATGTAAACACCCCAGAAAATCTACAGAGGTACTTTTGCCACTTTGTTGTTTTCAGGAAAACTAAATTTCTGATAAGAAATCCTTACACACTGTTTATGGTTACAGCAACCTGCCCTGTCTTTTTCATGTTCTTGTAGGACTTTGGAGAGTGAGGATCTGAGAAAGAGGTTTATCGCTCCTCCTGTACCTAAGGCGGACTCTCCGTTGGTGTACCCTGAAACTGACCAGCCATGGATCGGACGACGGATCGACTATATCCTGTACCGCGAAAGCTCCATTTCGAAGCAGTGCCAAACAGTATGTGCCTCACTTATTTCCCTGTGTTCAGTCCCCAGTCTTTTCATTTGCTCATTTGTGTTTGAAATGTTTATATCTGTAGATCATTTAGAAAATATTTGCAAATTGCAGAACTACTGACAGCCTCCTCATTTAGAAGAATAATTTATCATTAAAAAAATGCATAAAATCTTTTTTTCCATTTAGGAAATTGAAGAGGTGACCTTTATAACTCAGCTGGCTGGGCTTACGGACCATATTCCTGTGGGACTGAAACTGAATGTGGTTATGGACTCAGACTCTGCTGATGAATGAAGACTCATTCAAACAACAGTACAAAATGCACAAAAAAGTGCACTGCTTTACTCTGTGCAGGTACAAGAGTGTTTTGACTATATACTTGAATTTGTAATTTAAATGACCAAGGAGATTATACCTCAGGTGAACTTTATACAGATTTATAGCATAAAGGTTTTATAATCGATGCATTTTATATATCAGGGGTTGTTCAGGCCAGAGGTGTTAATTTTATAAAACAGTAGCATTCTCCTGTCATAGTTTCCTACCAAAATAAATGCAAATAATGAATTTTATACCTTTCTTTCTGACAACATTTAAGAGGTGCATTTTTTTACTTGTCCTTCTGACACAGCAGACAATAGTACTGTTGTGACTGTCATCCAGCTGCTATATATGCTTATAATGAACAAAAACTTCAACAAACAGTTCATTAGTAAGTAACAGCTTTGTTTTCTTATATACACAACCATGCCAGTCTTACCTTACAAATAAAAAAGCAGACAGACAGTTCATCAAAGTAGCAGAGGCTTTGAAGAAAGTAAATACAAAATAAAAAGCCAGAGTGATTTAAATGTTGCTGGAAACTGAACTTGAAATTAAGGAAATAATGAATATAACAACAACTCCAATTTAAGAGCTGCAACATCTGATGAGATGCAACAGTAAAATATGGCAGGTGAATTGATATGTACAATTAGATGTTCTTCCTGAAAACCTTGAGTCCTGGCATTCATGTGGATGTGATTGTGACGCACACCACTCACCAAAACCTCCAGACAGCGGGGCAGGACAATACACTTCATTTGAGACTTGCTCAGAAGAATAGACCAAGCTGTTGATCCCACCTGCAAAGTCTGCAGATCTAAATGCAATTGCATGTCCACTGGATATAAAGGAACAACCAAACATCACAAGACATCCCCAGAGTTCCTGTGTCCATTCCCTGAATGGGTCAGCTGGTTTAATGGGTCAGGTTTTCATCATATCTTAAAGAAGAAAGTGTATATGCTTCAGTTAGTGGTTTTTAGATCTGGACAAATGTAACAAATTAAATAAGGGGTTCCTCAGTTGTCTGTTCTTGGACTATTACTCTTTAGCTTTTACATGTTCCAGCATAAAATATCCTATTCAGATGATACACGGTTGTAGTCATCATTTTCCTCCAATGATCTAACCCTTGTTTGCAAATTAATGGAGCAATAAATGATCATAGTATCTGCTGTCATCATTTTCAACATTAATTTAGAACTGAACAGAGACGAGACAAATATTTGTTGTTGCTCAAAAAGGTCAGAGAACATTTGTTCATATTTATCATCCATTTCTCTGAAACACAATGAGCAAGTCTGGTTTGATAACTGGTTTGTTCACTAGATGGGCTTTCTATCACTTTAAAGTGCATATTCAAAATGAGGAATTTTTTACCTCAACCTGACTGTGAGAAATTGGTCCATGCATTTATATCACGCAGGTTAGACTATTTGAATGCTCTATTTGCATCAGTGGGACAACTTCAGCTCATTCAGAAAGCAGCAGGCAGAGTCCTTATGCATACAGTCAGGTCCATAAATATTGGGACATCGACACAATTCTAACATTTTTGGCTCTATACACCACCACAATGGATTCCAAATGAAACAAACAAGATGTGCTTTAAATGCAGACTGTCCGCTTTTATTTGAGGGTATTTATATCCAAATCAGGTGAACAGTGTAGGAATTACAACAGCTTGCATATGTGCCTCCCACTTGTTAAGGGACCAAAAGTAATGGGACTGTTGGCTTCTCAGCTGTTCCATGGCCAGATGTGTGTTATTCGCTCATTATCCCAATTACAATGAGCAGATAAAAGGTCCAGAGTTCATTTCAATTGTGCTATTTGCATTTGGAACCTGTTGTTGTCAACTGTCAAGATGATATCCAAAGAGCTGTCACTATCAGTGAAGCAAGCAATCCTTAGGCTGAAAAAACAACACAAACCCATCACAGAGATAGCAAAAACATTAGGCGTGGCCAAAACAACTGTTTGGAACATTCTCAAAAAGAAGGAACACGCCAGTGAGCTCAGCAACACCAAAAGACTAGGAAGAGCACGGAAAACAACTGTGGTGGATGACCGAAGAGTCCTTTCCCTGGTGAAGAAAACACCCTTCACAACAGTTGGCCAGATCAAGAACACTCTCCATGAGGTAGGTGTATGTGTGTCAAAGTCAACAATCAAGAGAAGACTCCACCAGTGCGAATACAGAGGGTTCACCACAAGATATAAACCATTGGTGAGCCCCAAAAATAGGAAGGTCAGATTAGAGTTTGCCAAACGACATCTAAAAAAAAGCCTTCACAGTTCTGGAACAACGTCCTATGGACAGATGAGACCAAGATCAACTTGTACCAGAGTGATGGGAAGAGAAGAGTATGGAGAAGGATAGGAACTGCTCATGATCCTAAGCATGCCACCTTATCAGTGAAGCATGGTGGTGGAAGTGTCATAGCATTGGCATGTATGCCTGCTAGTGGAACTGGTTCTCTTGTGTTTATTGGTGATGTGACTGCTGACAAAAGCAGCACGATGAATTCTGAAGTGTTTCAGGCAATATTATTTGCTCATATTCAGCCGAATGCTTCAGAACTCACTGGACAGCGCTTCACAGTGCAGATGGACAATGACCCAAAGCATACTGCAAAAGCAACCAAAGAGTTTTTGAAGGGAAAGAAGTGGACTTTTTTTTTTTTTGCAATAGCTAAGTCAATCACCTGACCTGAATCTGATTGCGCATGTCTTTCACTTGCTGAAGACGAAACTGAAGGGAAAATGCCCCAAGAACAAGCAGGAACTGAAGATGGTTGCAGTAGAGGCCTGGCAGAGCATCACTAGGGATGAAACCCAGTGTCTAGTGATGTCTGTGTTCCAGACTTCAGGCTGTGATTGACTGCAAAGGATTTGCAACCAAGTATTAAAAAGTGAAAGTTTGATTTATGGTTCTTATTCTGTCCCATTACTTTTGGTCCCTTAACAAGTGGGAGGCACATATGGAAATTGTTGTAATTCCTACACTGTTCACCTGATTTAGATGTAAATAGCCTCAATTAAAAGCTGACAGCCTGCAGTTAAAGCACATCTTGTTTGTTTCATTTGGAAACTTGAGCATATCCAAGTGTTGGAGTCACTTCATTGGTTCCAGTTCAATACAGAATTACCTTTAAAATCCCTCTTTAAGTTTATATTTTCGCTTGGGTCATCAGATGTAGATCTTGTAACTATTCCCAAAATTAGATCCAAGTGTGCTGAAAGTGCTTTCAATTACAGTAGTCCCATTCTTTGGAACAAGCTACCTGCTGACCTGAGGTCAAGTACATAAAAAAACCCCAGACTCAATCGTGTTTACTCTCACAGGCCTTCACTTAACACCTGTGTGTGCATTTGTGTCATTCTGCAGAATGAAATGTGCTAGAAATAAAATCGCAATTGCGATTTGGTTCCAAAATATTAGTCAGGTATTTAAAATTAAATATTGTGATTGATTTAATAACTGTTATTAGGCTTCAAAAAAACAAAAAAATAATTACATCATTAAAATGTAATTTCTAAACATGTTTCACATGTTTAAAGTGGGTTCATCAGTCAAGTCAAAGTAAATCACAGGGCAATGGACTAACCTTACATGTGGAAATCAGACTACAAAAAAATCCACAGCCTGAAGTTTCAGCTTTCGCTACCGATAGGGGGAGCTCTATATTTTCTCCCCCACAATCACGACCTTAAAGCCAACAAAAATGCATTAAAAGCCAATCAAAACCGTGGACACGAAACACTTCCTGTTTTTAGCGCTGTAAACTCGTGGATAGCTGTTTCCATGATACTGTAATGTTATGCAGGTGAAGACCATGAATTTACTCTGTCACTCGCGGAAAGTGCTGTCCTCGGTGTTGAGAACTAGTGTTTTTCTAAAGCGAACAGAGGCTTTTGGAAGCATTTGTTCAATCTCCAAAGCTCGGTGCATTAGCCTGTCTGTGCCTCAACATTTTACAGCAAATCTGACCTCATGTCAAAACTCGCATCACACAGCGTCCTTCACCGGGCACTTTGACATAAAAAGATGTTATTCGGAAAGCGAAGAGAGCCGAAATTCAGAGAGTAATGGCGTGATTGAAGATGATTCACATGAGCTGGACGATAATAGCAGCGAAAACAGCTCCTTAAGTCGCAGTAAGTACTTAAAGTGTGATAGAGGTTTCAAGAGCAGTCGCTTACTTGCTTTATCATGTGTAATATAATTGAATTTCTTGACGTTTCACGGTTACGCGACATTTGGTCTTGAAAGTGTGATACCTGAAAAGTTTTTATGGTGTATCTTCAGGTTGTGAGGTGGAAGCACAAAAACAAAGTCCTGCTTCTTATTTCTGACAAAACTGCCAATATGACGGCAGTTGCCTAAGTTCTTGCTCAATATGCTTATTATTTGTGCCAGTAATTAATTGGCAGGTAATAGTAAACACTGGGATTTCATGAAGGATTAAAGAATGTAAATATCTACTACGTACTTACAGATAAAACAAAGGAAAATAGACAGTTGGGATACTTAAAAAGATGATTCACACGGTTTAGATGGTTCACATCAAGTGTGTGCAGTTTCATCGAAAACAATTAAACCCTAATATAAATATTAAATATTTTTAAATCTGACATGATTGCGCATTAAATATAAAACTATTTGTCATTTATGCTGTTGTGTTTCATTTAAGCCAAATAAGCATCAGATGTGTGTCAGTTATGGACACTACAGCATGCAACAGGCTGCACAAAACTGCAGCATGTCCACGGGATATACAGAATTTATAAATAATTAAAAAGTAATGTAATGTTTATATTTGCTGATGTATTACTCAGGTTGTGTAATGTTACAGACACTGCAGAATTTTTCTGACAAAGTCCACACCTTCACATATTGACAAGAGGAAGTAATGAAGATGAAGAAAAAATAATTATAGTCACACCTGTGTAAACTTCCTCACCAGGACCAACTCTGTATAAAATTACTAGAAAATACTTCTTAGTTACATGGATAAATGCATTTTTGCCATTTCATTGTGGGTGACTCATGTTCAAAGTACCAGTATGTTTCTGTAAAATGTCTTTTTCCAAACTGCCTTGCAGTGACTCAAAGAAAGTAGGATCCCTGTGCTGCTTACATTCTTGTACTGCTTTACTATTTTCTTTTCTTTTTGTCAAGGATCCTTGGAGACTTTCGGTCTTGATGTGCTGGTGTCTCTTCTGCGTCAGGAAAATGCAGTAGACCTCTGTGTGATTAAAGTACCAGAGCAAATCAAATACGCCGAGTACTTCATTGTCGTCAGCGGTGTGTCACCAAGGCACTTGCGCGCAATGGCACTTTATGCCATTAAAGTGGTAACTTACCTCTGTTTATTCTTTGTTACATGTTACATGCTAAATATATTTGTTCTTTAAACTCATACAAAGGATGCTTTTACTTCAGTACAAGTTTCTGAAGAAAGATGAAGATCCAAATGTCAAGATTGAAGGGAAAGATGCAGAAGATTGGATGTGTATTGACTTTGGTATGTATATCCTTATTATTTGTTTAACAATTCCTATCCACTAAATTAACCATCTATAAAAGTTACAAGTATTTGTTTTTCTGTGTCTCAGGTAATATGGTTGTTCATTTCATGCTGCCAGAGACTAGAGAAGTGTATGAACTCGAAAAACTTTGGACTCTCCGCAGCTACGATGAGCAGCTGAAGAGTATCCCAACTGAGACACTTCCAGAGGATTTCATATTTGATGTTGAAGTTACAAAGTGACAACATCTAAGGCGAAATAATAAGATGTGCCCAGACTGAACTACTTCCTTTGAGTTTTGGATACATTCTTTACAGTCAAAAACCTGAAATCTGTTGGATTTCCAAAAGTACTTTAAGTGACAGAAATGTTGAAGCCCAAATTATCAGTATATACTGATCTCAGATATATTAACTGTACTATCTACATTATATCTCATCTGGCCAAAGGACCAATGAGCATAATATCCCATGGCAAGACATCCATCTGTCTGCAGTTCACAAGAATTGTTACTCCATCTACTACTGGGCAGGTTTTAATAAACTTGCACACAATAAAAAAAGTACTCCAAATTGTTCTCAAGGTTGCATTTTGCCAGATGAGCTACTATCTGAAGTTTTTAATGGAACATAAAGAAAAAAATACATGCTTTTGGCTATTTAGAAATTGTGGCATCACATAACTTGTCCAACGAAGTATGCACCGACTCAAGTGTTTATAACACTCTCAGCAAAGCTGTGCAAGCAGTGGTTCGCTTAAGAAGGGTCTTCATTCTGAAAAATTCTGCAGAGAAAATGGATGAGTAGTAGTTGTTATTGTTCTTTCTATTGCACTTGAATGCATGTGTAGTTGGTAATACTATGTGAAGAATAGAAAGTACGATCCTGTAACATCAAATATGCAGAAACAACAAATTGTGTAGACTTATGCACGGTGCCTTACACTTTGTTATGACATACACACCACTCGGACACAGGCTCTTGCAAATTTGCAGATATAGAAAGCATGTTACTGAGCCATCACATCATCTTTCTGCAGGGGTCATCCCTGCAGAAAGATGATGTGATGGCTGTCACACTTTAAAAATTTCAGATCAAACTAATTCTAATATTAGACGAAGACAACCTGAGTAAATGCAAAATGCCATTTTGAAATTTTTTCATTTATTAAAAGAAAAAGGGTACCCAAATCTACCTGGCCATATTTGAAAAAGTAATTGCCCTCTAAACCTAATAACCGGTAGTTTCAGCTTTTGTTGGCAAGAACTGCAATCAAGCATTTGTGATAACAATCCAGGAGTGAGTCTTTCACATCACTGTGGAGAAATTTTGCCCCACTGTTCTTTGCAGACTTGTTTTAATTCTCTTTTGGGTGAGCCAATACTGATGCAAATAATGCTAGTTTTCTAGTGCAGATAGCCTGCTTAAGGTCATGACAACCCATTTCAATCTGACTTGAGTCCAGGCTTTGACTAGGCCACACCTGGTGTGTTTTGGATCATTGTCCTGCTGCATAACCCAAGTGCCCTTGAGCTTCAAGGCATGCACATTCTCCTTTTCAGAATCGTAAGCATCAAGAGCTCTGACCTTAACTGAGGCAAATGGGGCCTGCCAGCATTTACAATGATAGTGATTTATCTGTGATAGGCTAATGTATACTTGTATACTGGTCAGCCTTCAGTATTTTTCTTTAGATAAATAATCCAGAAACCCAACACCTTTTGTGTTTAAAAATTGACAACCTCTAATGATTCTGTTAATTTTTCATACTGTTTGACATCACTGGTACGGTGATATGTTTGTAAAATGCTTAAATGACTCATGAGTTTGCAGATAAAATGTATGTTTTATCCTGTTTAGATTGTTGAAGTAAATTATTTTTTCTTACATTTCAGACGTGTTGATTGATGATTAATATGGTGTGGAGGTGAGGACAAAGAAGAGGCAGACGTTGCTGTCGAGCAGACGAAATGCATAGGTTCAGTGTTGATTCAGTCTCCTCAGGTGTGAATATACTTATTCACAAGCACCTGCAACTGTGTCTGAAGAGCAAGAGCCTTTTAATATTTAAACTTGACAGCAGCAAAGCAGTATTCACATTTGCAGGTATAATTTAAAAAAATAATCTGTATTTAAAATATATTCAAGTCTCAGAAACACATTTTCTGCAAAATTTAAGCAAGAATAAATGAATAAAAGAGAAAGAAGAATATAGAGTCACTAAAACAAGTCATTTAAGATGATGTTTTCAGCCAAATCCATCTGAGTGCTTTGTTTCGGACAAAAAATTATTGCCCAGGCCATTATTCGTAACACGCATTCACTCGACACTTACAAGATAATAAGACAATAAAAGACTCTAAAGTAAGTGTATCCAACACCTAGGTTGATTAGGACATGGACAGATTAAGAGTTTCTGTCTTTTTTCATGGTTTCTGACATCAATATCACATTAAAAAACAGACTGATAAATAGATTTTTGGACCTTTTTGACATTTAAAGAATACGGAGCCTGAGGGTAGAAACTAAGCCAAAACATACACACAAACACGGATACAACTCGCACTATATCCCCATAACTTTCTTGCATGCAAGCATTACGCTTCATTGACTTATTGTCAAGACATTAGCTAAATGTGAAAATGTAATGAGGCAGGAGATGCCTGCACAGAGCCGACTGGACCTGGTGTTTGAATGCTTTTAACTTGTGGTCGTGCTGCTTGCACATGAATGGAAAATGAAGAATGAGTCAGACTAATGTTTAAAAACAGATGGGGAAGCAGTGAATTTGGACATCTTCATGCAACATAGTCTCTGGTTTCCAGTACACTCCCAATAGAAACTCACTGAGATGAAAGTTGGACTTTGTTGATCACACTTACTTGTTCAGTAGTTTAAATTAAAAAATAAGACTATCAAGTAATTATTTTTAATATTATTTGTCTTTATTGTAATATAGTATTTTTTTTTTTAAACTAGCTTATTTCTAATTTAAAAAAAAGGTTCTGGGGGAAAATTGCAGTTTGAAAAATCTTTTTTTGTTCCACTCAAATTTTGAGTAGATAATGTTCTCATTATCTATACAGCTGTTTCACCCATTTCTCCCCATTAGGGACCAGGTGCTACGATGGAGGGGATTATGAAGAAAGGGAGGTTAATTAGTAAATAGTAGCAGAGTTTATGTCTTGCATGACTCATTGCTATGCAAAGCACACAGTCGGCTTACTTTCACATACATTACCAAAGTGCATATGCAATTAAATTCTATCATGGTCTTTGTGTAGCATTAGGTTTCTGTATAAAGAAAGGAGTATATTATTTAGTAGGTGGTCATTACTACCCAGTGCAACTGGCTAAAATAAATAATTCATCTTCCAGAATTCCTACTGAAAGTTTTAGCTTTAATCCTCAACTAGAAGTCCATCTGGGTGTCAGGCTTTTGATATTTTAGTACGAGTAAATGTATGTATTTAGGCCTTCTGATAGTCCTGCAGGTGGGCTCTCTCTTCGTAGATAACGTTTGTGAGGCACATTACAAGAGAGCACACCAATTTTATCAGAAATGACACTTGAAGGACTCTCTGTGCTTTATCCACCCTGCCCTCATTTGTCATCACATCATCCTGATGTCACAAACTATTTAAATCAGTCCGTAAAGGCTGTTCTGCATCAAGTACACATGTGCTTGCAAAGATTCTGGTAGTATTTGTAAAAAGTAAATAAATAGTTTTGAGCTTCTTGTACCCCAACGCCTGTGTCCGGTGATGACAATTAAGTACATGATTGATGCCTGGTTGGCTGCTCCAAACATGCCAAGTTTGACTGATCTGATCAGCATAGTGTTGTTTTGGAGCATTTTTCCTGACAGATTCATACTAACAGTGAACCTGATCACTTGGCAGTGATACTCAGTGAAAATCACAGTATTAACATGTAAATGCTTTCTATGAGTAACAATGTCATTTTCTTTTACAGCATCTGAATATTTTGCCTGTAATATGAGCCAGAAAAAGTTTTTTGTTTGTGTTTAGCCGACGTTACCAGCAAGGACTTGTGCTGTTGCTTTGGAGTGCAGTGCTCATATGACTGCCACAGAACAGCAACGATTTACTGCCAAATTTTTGTTGAGTGCCCTTCTAAGAAAATAGTTGCCATTAAAGTTGTCTTATCATTTTGGGGCTGAAAGCTTTTTGTGCCCTCTATCAACTGAAATTGAAAGTTTAAGGAGTTTTTTGTGATTTCCTGCCCTTTCTTGTACGATTTCAAGTAATTTAGAGCTATGCTTGCTCATTTGGCCGAAATTGCTGCAGTTATTGTCTTAAGACAACTGCCTGTATTCAGTACTGTTTAATTTGGACTTAAAGATGAGATACATGAAGCAGTTTTAAAAGGCCATAAAATCAAAGGATTTAACATATACTAATGAGTTTTGAACTTTTGGTTCATTACTGCTAACCGTTTAAAGGCTTTGACTAGGCTGCTCTTGTATAATTTGCACACAATACACAATTGTGTGATAGCAAGGAGCACGAATGCCTGTTCTTTTATTTCCAGCAGCTTTTCATATTTTTGAGATGGTTAATGCACAATTTCATGAGTTAATTTTGTTTCCTGATGAGCAACAAGTTCTTTTGAGCTGCATCAGTCAAGGCATCCGGCATTTCAAAAAAAAAAAAAAGTCAAATCAAACATGTGGAGCTTCCTGCTGTATCAGCCCCTTGTGATTAAGGTAGTAGTTAAAAGTAGCTTTTGATGTAGACCCCCTTTGCATTTCTCTATGAAGTGAAACATAATCTTTCCAAACACTAGGGCATCCTTTCATTTTTCAGCTTAATGTGAAAACCATGGCCATCTTAAGTTACACATCATCAGTTTTATTAAAACATATCATGCTGCTTTTGGTCTTAAGTGGATTTTCTACATTAATAAAACTTTTAGCTTTCATCTCCACTCATCAGTACTTTTCCATGATAACTTCAAAATCTTTTTGTGAACCAAAGAAAAGTTTTCTGTAATCAGGTGTACTCTTATTGCTTATTTAGACCTTCTTATTTTTTTTTTAAACATAGAAAACAAAGCCATTATGGGAAACAAAAATGATGCAGACCTTTTGGGTTGTTCCAAATGAATTGGTCCTATTGTAGAACACAAATTTCTGTAGCATGTTAGTGATGTACTTAATTTAAATGTATAAACAAACAAAGGTTATGAGTTTTTTTTCTGAAATAATGCCATTTTTTGTTTCACTGCTTTGCCACTTTGAGCTTAAATAATGCAACCATA